TTGTGGAGAAACTGTGAAGTAGACTTGGGAAGCCTATGTTGGAGGCTTGGAGAAAAAAAAAAAATGTAGCTGCAGGCAAGTACTCCAATAGAAGCTCTGCCTTCACAGTGAGAACATGCCAGGGCTGGTCTGCTGGAGGGAGATATGTGGAGCAGAACTGAGTCACCCCAGTCAACCTCCAGACCTAGGAGGCCCCAACCAACAGCCAGCTGTCCTGCAGTCCTGGGAGTGAGCCCAGCTGAGACCTGAAGAGCTGCCCAGGCTAAATCACCAGCCTGTAGATTTGTGAGCTGAAAGGAGAAATGATAAAGAAAGTGTTCTTGGATTTCATTTCTGGCAGAGTCTTGTGAGCTTGGCTTTTATTTGTTAGTGAAATGCTTGCCATTTTTCCTTCATGTTATAAACAATATGTGCAAATTACTCAGAATTCTAGTTGAAAGTAATTTCCCACTAATAAGGCTATAAAATACCATTTTATTTGAAATCATGCCTCAGAAATAAATAGTATAGTGCCCCTTTAGTATAGGGCAAATTACACCCACAAACCCAAGAAGCCCAATGTTGGGTGTGTGAGACAGGAACTTAAAGCTACTACCCAAAGGAAATGTAGAAAAGGCAACCTAGGACAGGCATGGGCAAATGGCAGACAGTGGCATACAGTACAGTTTGCAGCAGTGAAAAATCCAATTATGGGACATAAACTTTAAAAGCCAACTTTTGCACATCTGTAATCTCTGAGTGACCAGCACCCTTCTAAGAATTTAATCTGCCTAGAGACCAAGCAAGGGCCAAGAAGGAGACAGAAGCACTGGCATGCATAATCTGAATGAGGAAGCCAACAAGCTCACTGTCCTATCAGCGTTTTCTCCTTCCAAGTCAGATATATACAGTGGATTTCCTTTGTGACCACTTGCTGACCACACATTACGTGCAGTCATGAATCTTGAAAATAAATCATTCTCAATGCTCTTAAAAAATAGTTCGCGAATTTAGTAATAGCCAGGGAATACCTAGGTTTTCCCCTAAATTTCCACTTTTAATATGTATCTAACTCCACTTTATTCCAACAATCATGGTAGGCAGCAATCATTCTGTTTTGAGGTAATTCAAAATCCTTACCTTGGCCCATCTGTATCTTTAAAAGCTCCAGCCAATACAAAATTAGCCAGGTGTGCATGGTGGCGCATGCCTGTAATCCCAGGTACTTGGGAGGCTGAGGCAGGAGAATCGCTTGAACCTGGTAAGCAGAAGTTGCAGTGAGCCAAGATCATGCCATTGCACTCCAGCCTGGGCAACAAGAGCGAAACTCCATCTCAAAAATCAAAAACAAAAACAAACAAACAAAAAAACCAAAAAGCTCCAGCCATAAGCCCTGGGCTCTGAGAGCACCATCAGCAAGAACTTTGGAATAACATGGGCAAGGGCCCTCCATCTGGTTAAGCACACAAACTAGGCACTCTCTGAAAAAAAAGAATTGTTTTCCGTTAAGAATTACCATGGGATAGGGACGCTGACATAACTTGAAGAACATAAGGGCAGAGTGGTAATAAGGCAAAGATTTCACAGATCCAGAGGGTCTCCTTAAACTAGACAAAAGACCCAATGAATGGAAAACCTAACCTTATGGATATTTCTAGGTTAAAAATCACAGGGGAAGATCTCAACCTAAATGATCTAGTGCATGGTCAATCTAGTGAATGTCTATGGCATTTTCTATATTTAACATTCCGGAGAAAGAAAACAACAAAGAGCTATTATCTCAATATTCTAGTCTCCTAGCAAATAAACCAGGAGTTGCAAGCTCAACTGCCTATGGACACAGTCAAATGAAATAAATAAGTGAAGAGAATCAAGTGAACTTGGCTTCAGAGTCTGAGGAGCAATGAGGAGTATTAGAGATTTGGCAAATCAAAGTTCATGCCCCTTAAACACTTGCTGCTTCTAGCGGAAGCACTCACTATGCAGCTGCAGCAGTTTGTGCCACCAAAAATTCAAGCCCAGAGCTGCCAGATCTTCTAATTTTTCTTAAAAAGCCAGAAATATGAATTCTTATGTGAATCTCCTATTTCTTAAAAATTGGCAATTTAATTAAATTCTCTTTTTAAAAACACAGGTCAAATCAGGCATATTCCTGGTGAATTTATGTGGACCATATTTGATCCACAGATGAATGGTGTGGGATCTCAGATTATACAACCTCCAAGTCCCTCAATTTTCCACAACAGCCTACCCTGCTCTTGTGGCCTTTTCTGCTTCCTATATGCTTCCCTCTTTTCCTCAGTATGCCAAATTGTTGCATGCTACACAACTCAACGGACTCTAGGTTGGGTGTGGAGTGTGAGTAAAGAATGCTCCTCTATCACAATCACCCCAGTCAAGAGTCAGCCGAGCTCTGATCTTACTACAAGGAATTGCTATTTTGGAAATGAAGATCAATTACAATGAAGTCAAACTGGTATGTCAAATAGCTGAGCCAAATTAAATAATTTTTTTATTATAAGTAACAAATAAATCTTACATCTCCAAAAACTATCAAGTATTTTTTTAAAAAACCTTTAGCTGTCCTGTCTCATGTATCAGTGATGACTAGCTGCTCTCACACAGCTTTGCCACCAAGCCCAACCATGCCACAATCAAAGGAAGAAACCTCAAAAGAAGTTCATTAACGAAACTGAACATCACTTCCATTGAAAATGCTGTAGAATTTTTAGCTTCTACACAAAGTAGACTTATTATTTGCTTTAAAATGCTTTACTGACATCCTATTCCAATCAAAGTAAGTAAAAGGTTTGGAGGATGTGTCAACCCCACTGGGATCCAACCTACATATCTAGATATTTACCTTTCCTCACACACTCTAACAGGATAGCTATGTTAGATAATCTTTGTCAAACATAAACATTCTATGGTCTTCTGTATCTAGAAGGCTTTCTTCTTTCTTCTTCTATTACCTAAGGATCTAAGAAAATAGTTTTCAATGTAGGTTATCTCAAATATATTCACTTGAACAGGACTGCACGAGGCAAGGTTAATGTATTACCATCCACATGCATTAGTCTATTCCTGCTAATACCTAAGGGCAATAAATTCCCCCAATGTGCCCATCTTTATTCCACCTTAAAGCTCCTAATGATGATACATTAGAGGGCAGCTGACTCTGATACCAATTTAGTCAGCTTTCAACAGTCAGCTTCCATTCTTAGCTGAGATCAAAATGAACAACTGTGACAGAATAGAGCAGTGACATCATAAATATAACTGATACAAATTGGAATTTGTTTTTTAGAAGTTTCCAAAACAGATAATTTTACTATGGAATGTTATAAAAATAGAAAATTAGAAGGAAATCTAAGCAGTTATTTTTAATACAATCTTTAGAACTCTTATTTTACCAGTTGGCATAAAGGCAGTAAGTGACTGGTATGGTCTGGATCTGCTTCCCCACCCAAATCTCATGTTGAAAAGTAATCCCCAGTGTTCAAGGTGGGGCTGGTGGGAGGTGACTAGATCATGGGGGCAGTTTCTAAAGGCTTAGCACCATCCCCCTTGGTGACATTGCTGCAATTGTGAGAGCTGGTTATTTTAAAGTGTGTAGCACCTTCCTAACCCTTTTGGTCCTGTTTCTGCCATGTAAGACACCTGCTCCCGTTTTGACTTCCGCCATGTGTAAAAGCTCCCTGAGGCCTCCCCAGAAGTAGATACTGCCATGCTTCTTGAACAGCCTGCAGAACCATGAGCCAATTAAATTTCTTTTCATTACATATTATCCAGTCTCAGGTATTTCTTTATAGTAATGCAGGAACAGACTAATACAGTAGCTATAATAGGAATCTACCCAATTAGTTCATAAGCATACTTAGCAACAGCAAATATGCATCATTATGCATGATGCTCACAAGTCCATGAGCCCCCAATTCTCCTTAATTGGAATCAAAATACCAAAAAGATGCAGTAGTCTCAAAACCCAGTAATAGGCCTAATCCTTTAATTTGTTCCAATATTGTTCTGTCTGAAAACACTGACTCTTATTTACATGATTAACAATTGTTGTATTTTGTTATTATCAGAAAATCCACAAAAGCTTAAAATCCAAAGTATTTCTCATGAGATCAAGTAACTTATTCATATATTGCTGACATTTTGTTATGATACAATGGCAGCATCCATAGTTTCCAAAATGAAAGAAAGACATAGAGAAGGAGGAGGAAGAAGAGTAAGCAATGGAAAAGAAGTGAAAGGGAAAGTGAAAGGATAAACCCAACAACATTCAAAAACAAAAGTATGCTAATTCCAACAACTTTACCTAACAGAGTATAACACCCACACAATAATTTGGTCCTTAAAGCAAAACTTTTGACAAGAAAACAATAATACTTATTGAACAATTACAAGAGTAAGAAAGTCTGATTTCCAAGAAAAAATATCAGAAAGATCTATAAAAATAATGTCGATTTTTTTTCCCTTTCTACCATGTTCCTTTCACAGTGTAAATTCTAAAGTATAAATCTATATGAGGAATAGCTACAAGTTTAAATGAACGATGAAGTTAGTATATTTAATTTATATGTCTCAAATTATAAAGTCCTACAAAAATCTGTTTCTTCTATAAATAGAAATTCAATTTCTAAATGAAAATATACCTTCCATACTTGACTATTCTGAAGTCATAGCCAGAATAATATAGTAATGTAAGTAAATGTCAAACTTACATTCTCCTCGGCCAATAATGTTATACTCTTTTGAATAAAAATGATATGCAACATAGTATATTCTTTCTTAAGAAATAAAAACTCTTTGCTTTGAGTTTCATAATAGAGCTTAAACACTTTCTTTTACTTCTTTACAGAGCAACAGAGCAAGACTCTATCTATGCCAAATACCCTATCAGTTTTTATTTGTAAAATGGCATGAGCTTTGGCTAATGGAAGTCTCAAGATAGTGAAAAATGAAATGATTCAATATCAGTGATGCACATAGATGTTCATTATATTCCAACTTACCCAGTACACTGACAAAAGCATCAAAAAGATGAAATGTTAGTAGAGGCTCTTTCAAGTGACCATAGTAATCAGCTATGGTTTTAAAGACATCTTTTTCAAATCCCAAGTACATAGGCTGCTTCAAATCACAACTGTTGGGCCCTATTTTGAAAAAGAGTGAAAAAGAAACATTAATGGAGTAATTACCTCTAAGTATTATTCTCTGTGAATATGTGTGGTGTGTACAGACATTCAGATATTTGACATATACAGAAAAGTTTTTATGGTGAAAATTGACATTAATTAAATAGGCATTCCACATTGATATTAATTAAATAGACATTTACATTTTGCTTACACAAATATGCTTTGTGTCTGAATTGAAATCTATTATAAAACAATGAAGAAAATCACTGGCTAAGTTCCATTTTAAAAGAAACCTTTCTTAAAAAACATTCTTCCGAAAGACATTTTTATTAAATGTAAACAATGATAATTTTCTCTGAAATATTCAATATTATCCTAGTCTTAATATAATTGACTAAGATAACAATTAGCTCACATATGTAATAGACAAGTTATAAAGCAATTTTTAAAGCTTTTAATTATTTCATCACTGCTATATTATAAAATCCTACAGTCATAGAGTTGAGTGAAATAATCAATTTCTGCCTGTACTTCAGACTAACAAATATTTAAACTTAAAAAAAGAAATCCTGAAAAGGGGATTTTATATTTTACTTAAATTCATTCTGATAATAAACTCTCTATTTGATCTCTGACCAACCATCAAAAGACAGCTTATCAAAAGCAAAGTCATACTGCAAAGTTGAAGCAACCCCTGAAACCCTGAAACAACCTGGTCCCAACCATATCCTACTCCAGCAACAAGCAAAAAAAAACATCCACTTGTGTCTGGCCCAAAGAGGAACAAGAAATGCTCTCCACAGAGCTGGCAACGACTGCCCCGGCAATCCATCCACAGACCATAGATTTACACCTGCCAAGTTGAGTGATGAACTGGAGCTGCCTGCACCTTGAGGAAAATAGCAAGTGGTCCCATGAGGAACAGTGTAGCCAGCCTTCTCTATTTCCATTACAGCATGGAAGAAAGGACCACATCTGCATTGGCTAGTTCTGGGCCAGCAGAAGACTAAACAACGGTACCCAAATAGACCTCTACCCCCAGAGGAGCAAAAGGAGCAGCCAAGATAAATTGAAACAAATTCTTCTTACAGAATCTCTGCAACTAAAGAAAGAGGATCAAGCTAAAAAGGACAGTCAAGCATTTGGGGCCTACATTTCAAGGTCACTGTAACATGATCAAATGGCTTTTTTGGCCTCCTTAAAGACTCTCTTACCCTTCAATATTCTTGTTTCTTCTTATAAAATAAGTTGATTGGTTAAAATAATGAAAACTGTGAAATGCATGTGGTACCATACGAATCCAACAGCAAAGGTAGCTGTCATTTTGCTTGCCTCCTCCTCTGACATATCCTAAGCTTAATCAATTAAAATAATTAGGTTGCTATGTCTCAACAAGTAATACACATTGCCTAGAATTACTGCCAGGATAAGTAGGTGGTTCATTCTAGGCTGCTGTACCCTTTTGTGAACATCTCATCATTATTCTTAAAAATATGCAAAAATTTTTAAAATTTTTTTAAAAAACAGTGCACAGTGAGCCCTATGAGAGGAAGCCATATTTTTATAATCTTTTCTTTCTCAGTCATCTTGAACTTTAAGAATATTTTAAGAATATTTTTAATTGTTTTAAATAAATGTTATTCCTGACAGATTCTGTAAAACAAATCCTTTGACTTTTTTTGTATCTATTTTTTATTGAATCCTGAACATGCACAAAAAAGAAAAACACAGTTAACCTGGTTTTACATTTATGTATCCAACATTGAGGACGACCAACAAAGAACGTATATGGGCCCATGTGCACACAGGTGTGATAATAAACACAAATGGTCCTGAAAAGAAAGAGGTGAGCAGCACATCAACAAAGTAGGAGGCAATAGGTCTTCAAAATACCATACAATCAATCTATCCTTTCTGTTCCCTTTTAGATGATGGTAAAAGGAATCTGGACTTGCTAAGGATAGAAAGGACAAGAAACAGGTCTGACTTTGGTGAACTCAAAGTATATTTTGAGGATCAAGGGCAATTTCAGAAAACATAATAACTTTTCTAAGTTATTCGAAAGGTTAATCTTGCCCTTTGGCCAACTTTGTTTGACACACAAACATCTTTACAGATACACCAACCACTCATAAAGCATTGTGCTTGATATATGTAAGACATGTTCCTTTTTCCCCTGCACTTGCCACCTAGTATCACGCCACCTCACACACATGAAGATCTTTACTAATTTACCCCTCACATTTTTCCTCTCCATTGATAAGAAATTCCAGTTATTCTAATCTTTCTGCAGACGATTTTTGGCTTAAGGTGCACATATTGTTTGAGGGAAAATTATGTTCTTTACTACATTTCAGTCATCATTGAAACTTCAACATCGTAAACAAATTACTATATACTTTACAACATATTGCAGGCTAGATTGGTTACTCTAGCTTCCTATGTTCATTCCTAGCTGATCAACTTCTAAATCCTTGGTTTGCCAGTTCAGAAATGGGAAATTTAACTTCCCATTTATACTATCACATCATTGCCAACCCTAGACAAAGATGTAACTTAAACTTCATTTACTTCAAATGCCTTAGCAGGAAGAATAAAGAGCCCTTCCCCCAGCTAAGATCATAGTATTCTACATCACAGAAGTTCCAAAATTTTAACCAAAAACCAATGAAAATCTTAATAATTAAACCCAGAGAATCTTGGGCTTCACATAAACTAATGTTACTATTCATATATAGAAGAACAGTACAGAATGAATGAATAACATTCATCTTCAAAAGGCTATTCAAAATCATAGGATCGTGTTCCATATATTACCACTAAGATTCCCTGTATTAAGCTGAATAGTTTAGTTTCATTCTGTAATCACACAAAACTGATTCCATTTAAACCCATATTTTACGGTCTACAAATTCACAAATTTAAAGGGAATTTACACCTATATCTGTAATGCTAATCCTGTGCAAAAGAAAAGAAAATAAACTACTACTACTTTGTGGTATCTGTGAGACTCTAGATCAAATACCACTGTTATCAGTCAGCCAAAATAATTAGAACTCTTTCCACCAAAATTACTTGTTGGGGTTAAGCCATTAATCATCAGAATCCCTTCTTTGGGTTAAGCCTTCTGAAAACTCCCGGAAGACTGTAGTGTTTCTGAGATATTATAACAACATTGATATCCATAGGCCTTCACAGTGCCTATGATATTCAATGATATGGAAATCACATGCCTATAAAATGGATTTCATATGCCTATAAAAATCCTCACAGAGTCCACCCTAATCCAAGCCTTCTCATCTAACATCCAAATTACTGCAACAGTCTTTCTCATTTCTCTGCATGCAAGTTGTTCTCCTTCCAAATCAGCCTTTATCCTCTGATGAAGCAATTAGAACTAGTATGGATGTTATCTATAGTGTGAGTAAATCTACTAGAAAGTAGAAGTACTAAACTCCTTCAAAGCTGTTCTAGAATTCAGTCCTTTCACTAAGTCACAAATTTATCACTAAAAGCACAGTAGTCCCAAAATAATTAACTGCCAGTCTCACGGGTGTCAAATCAATGTTCAGACCATTGAGCAGAAATTTTTTCTAATTTAGGGAACTAATTTCTGTTAATTTCACAAAACTGGCAGATAATTAGTACTTACAATTTGCCAAACACTTCATAGCTGACAGCACCCAATGAGGAAGTTCTTCTGCAGGAAAAAGAAAAAGAAAAAGAAGATTTTAATTCAATTCTATACAGCTCAAGAAATAATATATATACTCGGTAGCATTAGAATGTATTACTTGCACAGGTAATATGAACCATATCTGCTAATTATCAATTTATGTAATTAGAACATTTAAAAGATGAAAATCTTTCCTTGGCAGCAGTGTTATAACATGCACTTACATAAATCATGCCTACAAATTTCTCTAAGGACACAATGCACCTTTTAAAGCTACAGTAAAAAAGAAAAAAATGTATAGTTTGCTCCAAACAAACCAAAAGACAAACCAATTATTTTAAGAATTACAGAAAGAAAAACAAAAGAAAAAATATTAGTCATCAAACACATTTGTGAAACAAGTTCGCCAAACACCACGAGCCTCCTAAAAAGGGTAATTCTGTAGGTCCAATGTAAGTATCATTTTACATGTTTCCATTTTCAGAATGCTTTAGGCCAAGAAAGTTCAAACGACATATTAATGTTAGGCTATTAGAATTAGGACAACCTTTAAATAATAGATACCTAACATTGCTACAAAAAAATCCCAGCTAAACCATTTGGTACAGAATCTCTTCCCTCCAGGCCCTGCCACAGACATCTGATGAGGTGGGCAAGCACTCAGGCTTCCACTTCATCTTCTCTACTTCTCTAAAACTGCAAAGACACTTGTTGAATTGTGTCAGATCTAGTGAACCAGAGTCTTGTTAAATGCTCTCTTCTCTCGTAAGATCTTACTTAAAAATGAAAGATGATTGGTCACCTAACTGATAACTAGAAGTATTAATCTGCTGCACTCAGAGAATGTGGAAGAATTTTAAATGTATTTCAAAGACTATACTCTCCCCCTGATTCTATGGAACTTAATTTTATATTGTTATAATTGTTTATAAAATATTGGTTATAAAATATTGTTTATAACCTAACAATTCATAAAGTCATCACAAACTTGTTTGTCTTTCATTGTTCTCCATTCCTCACACAGGGACTATAAAAGGAGGAGAAGTGTTTGAGGTTTGAAGATAGGTTCTGCTCCTGTCAGGAAACGTGGCCTAGAAAAACCTCTTCCCCTCTCACCACTGCTCAGGCTATTCTGCTACATTCTGTCTGCTTCCCAGGAGCCTCTAGCCCTAAATTTAATCATATTTTTAAAAACTCAAAAAGTATTATGCCATCTTCCCACATCCAAAGGTCATCAAGTTCCAGCCAATTCCCAGCATCAAGGGTTTGCACTAAAGGAAGAACAAATCAATGAGCCCATCCAAATCCGGTCTAATCCTTTAAATCCACAGGAAGATTTAAAATTAGTGTGGGGACTGTGACCCACTATAGGTGCCCTAACCACATTTTTACAAATCAAAAACCAGGTTAGGTGGCTGTTATATGGTTCTTTTTTTCCTGGGTTTTATTGTTTTTTTTTTTTTTTTTTTTTTTTTCTGATTTGTAAACTGGCCTAGTGTGGGAAATATAAAAAAATTAAAGCAACATCAACATTTAAAAAACTATCTTATTAAAAAGAACCAAGACTATCCCAGAGAATCTAACACAAAGACAACAAAACAAAAATCTAAGTGAGAACTCTACGTGCAATCAGACCCCAGGACCCACCTGAAAACTGACTCAGGCTCTTAGTTACATCTTGAATGTAATCACTTCTCAGGGATTTTTCCCAGAACCCCTTAAGGCCCAAGGTGACTAACAACACACTAGCTTCCGGATGGATTGTGCTGAGGCTTTCATTCCTATATATTCATTCTATGATATTCCCTTAATCCAAACAATTTGTTAAAAGGTATTAGAAAGGATATATGTAATGAAGGAACAAACTTATTCAGGGTTTAGGGAAAGGTCAAACAGGAGCTGACGGACCTATGCAGCCAATATATTATGTCAATAAGAAACAAAATGATACTTATGCACTTACTTGACTTGTCATCAAGAATAACAACTCCCTGCTTGCTAACACTATATACATTATGGATGATGAACTTTGAATTGACAAGTTTGATGTCTAAAACTTCTTCTAAGGAATCCAGGCCAAGAATCTTCTGTAAACTAAAAGATAAGTAATTATGTTAATTAGTTCTTTCTTTAAGATTACATTTACTCAAAAGCCTGGTACTACAAAAGATCAGTCTTTAGAATGCTTTATTTTCATGAATTTTATCCAATCTTTATGAGGCAAAAAGGGTAGAAATAGTACAATAAAACAAATGTAAAAAAATATCCTTTTGCTACTAACATTTTGCTTCACAGATTTAGTAACACACCAAATAACAAGAAAGTAATTTTGTAAGTAAAAATACTACAACACAAAAACTAACTTATCCACTAAGAAACCACTATTAGCATATCTTCATGAGAAAGAAAATTTTGCTGTATGACTGTCAACTTTATACATATAGTACATCAATAACTAAGAGACCACATTTTCTATTATGTGTTTTATTACACTTAAGATGTCAGTGTTACTAGAAAGCATAAGAGCTTTTAAACTCCTAATTTAACTACTAAATAAATAGAAAGAGATAATCTCCAGAATTCAGTTAAATTATGTTTGCTAAGCACAACTGCAAATAATGCAAAGTTGAGATTTTTATATATAATTTCAGAAAATTAAGTAAGCAGAGAGTGAGGAAGTAGCAAAACAGGAAACAATATCTCTAAAATTTCTCAATATCAAATGTACATACTATGATAACGTCATAGACTTCCATATCTCTTCCACATTGGCCTCTGTTAGTTGTCTGCGGTGAACAAGACGGCAAGCTGGTACCTCTCCAATAGCAATACTGTGACGCTTGTACCACATCTCAGAATTCTAACGGAGGGAGGATGCAAGAGGGAGGGAAGGGAGAAAGGGTAGAAAGAGAGAGAATAAATATTTCAATATAAAGTGGTGTGATTTTATGAGAAATGTCTTTGATTTGGTTACTTGAAATTTGATTTAAAATAATAATTAGAAATATAAATTAACTTTCTTTGCATAGATCTCAGAGAAGTAAAGAACGATTCTTAAGACTAGGTCACATTATAAATGAATATTCATGAATTACAAAAGAGCTATGGCAATAAGTATGGCATTAACTAGCTAATTTTTCCTGTGGACATTTCAACTAATCTGTGAAATAGCAGTGAAATAAAATTTTATTAATTCCAAATTAAGGAATACATATGTAAATTCACACACTATACAGATTGAGGATTGTTGAAAATAAAATTAAAATGTATTACTTTTGAGAATTGTCTTTTTTTGTAAGAAAATACAAGTGTAATGTTCAAAAGCAGCCCCCAAATCTTAGTCATCTGCAAGAGGCTCCACAAGGACAGCTGAAGATGGCAAAAGGAAGAGAAGTTTTTTTTTGTTGTTTTTTTGTTTGTTTGTTTTTTAAGCATTCCCTCAATCTTGGTAGTCTTCTACTGGGGATATTTTTTAAGGAAAAAATGTGAAAAAAAGAGGCAGTCAATTCTACAATGAGCTTCTGTTTTCCAAGACTAGAATAATCTACCTTTGTTCATATATTTGGTCAGGAGCCATTCTACAATATTCCATGCCCTAACCTTCTTACCCTCAACTGGCAATAATAACAAAGTTTAGGAGGAAAAGACAAAGAAGAAGGGTAATAAATTATAGAACATACGAGAAAAGGGGATTACAGGGAGTTTTAACAGAAATCTGCTCAATCTGAACATGCAACAGCTGCCATATACAATTGACCCTTTATATCTGTGGGTTCTGCAACTGTGGATTCAACCAACCACAGACTGAAAATCTTTGAGGGGCCAGATTAATAGAAAAGAAAAGGGAGAAGAATCAAATAGATGCAATAAAAACAATAAAGGGGATATCACCACTGATAACACAGAAATACAAACTACCATCAGAGATTACTACAAACAACTCTATGCACATAAACCAGTAAACCTGGAAGAAATGGATAAATTCCTGGACACTTGCACCCTCCCAAGCCTAAACCAGGAAGAAGTTGAAACCTTGAATACACGAATAACAAAGTCTGAAGTCGAGGCAGCAATTAGTCTACCAACCAAAAAAAGTCCAGGTCCAGATGGGTTCACAGCTGAATTCTACTAGATGTACAAAGAGGAGCTGGCACCATTCCTTCTGAAACTCTTCCAAACAATTCAAAAAGAGGGAATCCTTTCCAAATCATTTTATGAGACCAACATCATCCTGACACCAAAATGCGGCAGAGATTCAACAAAAAAAGAAAACTTCAGGCCAATATCCATGATGAACATAGATGCAAAAATCTTCAATAAAATACTGGCAAATCAATTGCAACAACACATCAAAAAGCGTAGCCATCACGAACAAGTAGGCTTCATTCCAGGGATGCAAGCCTGGTTCAACAGACACTAGTCTATAAATGTAATCCACCACATAAACAGAACCAAAGACAAAAACCACATCATTATCTCAAAAGATACAGAGAAGGTCTTCAACAAAATTCAACAGCACTTTATGCTAAAAACTCTGAATAAACTAGGTAACAAAGGAACATATCTCAAAACAATAAAAGCTTTTTATGACAAAACTACAGCCAATATCATTCTGAATGGGCAAAACCTGGGAACATTACCTTTGAAATCCAGCACTAGACAAGGATGCCCTCTCTCACCACTCCTATTCAATATAGTATTGGAGGTTCTAACCAGAGAAATTAGGCAAGAAAAAAAAAAAATGAAGGGTATTCAATTAGGAAAAGAGGCAGTCAAATTGTCTCTATTTGCAGATGACATGATTGTATATTTACGAGACCCTATCAGCTCAGCCCAAAATTGCCTTAAACTGATAAAGCAACTTCAGCAAAGTCTCAGGATATAAAATCAATATGCAGAAATCACAAGCATTTCTATACACCAAAAAAAGACTAACAGAGAGCCAAATCATGAGCAAACTCCCATTCACAATTGCTACAGAGAGAATAAAATATCTAGGAATACAACTAACAAAGGATGTAAAGGACCTTTTCAAGGAGAACTACAAACCACTGATCAAGGAAATAAAAGAGGACACAAACAGATGGAAAAACGTTCATGCTCATGGTTAGGAAGAATCAATATTGTGGAAATGGCCATACTGCCAAAAGAAATTTATAGATTCAACGCTATCCACATCAAGCTTCCAATGACCTTCTTCACAAAACTGGAAAAAACCACCTTAGACTTCATATGGAACCAAAAGAGAGCCCGCATAGCCAAGACAATCCCAAGCAAAAAGAACAAAGCTGGAGACATCATGCTACCTGATTTCAAACTATACTACAAGGCTACAGTAATCAAAACAGCATGGTACTGGTACCAAAACAGAGATACAGACCAATGGAACAGAACAGAGGCCCTGGAGGCAACGCCACACATCTACAACCACCTGTTCTTTGACAAACCTGACAAAAACAAGCAATGGAGAAAAGATCCCCTGTTTAATAAATGGTGTTGGGAAAACTGGCTAGCCATGTGCAGAAAGCAGAAACTGGACCCCTTCCTGACACTCTACACTAAAATTAACTCCAGATGGATTAAAGCCTTAAACATAAGACCTAACACCATAAAAATCCTAGAAGAAAACCTAGGCAAAACCATTCAGGACATAGGCATAGGCAAGGGCTTCATGTCTAAAACACCAAAAGCATTGGCAACAAAAGCTAAAATTGACAAATGGGACCTAATTAAACTCAACAGCTTCTGTACAGCCAAAGAAACAATCATTAGAGTGAACTGGCAACCAACAGAATGGGAAAAGATTTTTGCAATCTACCCATCTGACAAAGGGCTAATATCCAGAATCTGCAAAGAACTAAAACAAATTTATAAGAAAAAAACAAACAAACCCATCAAAAAGTGGGCGAAGGACATGAACAGACATTTTTCAAAAGAAGACATATATGAGGCCAAAAAACATATGAAAACAATGCTCATCATCACTGGTCATTAGAGAAATGCAAATCAAAACCACATTGAGATACCACCTTATGCCAGTTAGAATGGCGATCATTCAAAAATGTGGAGACAACAGATGCTGGAAAGGATGTGGAGAAATAGGAACACTTTTACACTTTTGGTGGGAGTGTAAATTAGGTCAACCATTGTGGAAGACAGTGTGGCGCTTCCTCAAGGACCCAGAAATAGAAATTACATTTGACCCAGCAATCCCATTACTGGGTATATACCCAAAGGATTACAAAGCATTCTATTATAAAGACACATGTACACGTATGTTCATAGCAGCACTGTTTACAATAGCAAAGACCTGGAACCAACCCAAATGCCCACCGACGATAGACTGGACAAGGAAAATAACCACATATACACCATGGAATACTATGCATCCATAAAAAATGATGAATTTGTGTCCTTTGTAGGCACATGTACCCCAGAACCTAAAGTATAATATTTAAAATAAAAATAAAAATAAAAAATTCAGGGGGAAAAAAATGGATGGTCGCATCTCTACTGAACATGTAGGCTTTTTTTCTTGTCATTATTCCCTGACCCAAGGGTCCCCAACCCACAGTCCACAGATGGTATCGGTCCATAGCCTATAAGGAACTAGGCCGCAAAGCAGGAGGTGAGCACCTGGCAAGTGAGTGAAGCTTCATCTGTATTTACAGCTATTCTCTGTTGTTTACATAATGCCTCAGTTCCACCACCTGTCAGATCAGCTACAGCTTTAGATTCTCATAGGAGTGTGAACCCTTTTGTTAACTGTGAATGTAGGAAATCTAAGTTGTGTGCTCCTTATGAGAATCTAATGCCTGATGATCTGTCACTGTCTCCCATCATCCCCAGATGGGACCATTTAGTTGCAGGAAAACAAGCTTAGGGCTCCCACTGATTCTACATTATGGTGAGTTGTATAATAATCTCATTATATGTTACAATGTAATCAAAATAGAAATAAAATATACAATAAATGTAATGCACTTGAATCATCCCAAAACCACCCCCACCCGATCCCACCAGCCCTGGTCCATGGAAAAACTGTCTTCCACGAAACCCATCCCTGGTGCCAAAAAGGTTGGGGACTGCTGCCCTAAACAATACAGTACAATAACAATTTACATACTAGACTGAAAAACTACAAGAGCCAGTCTTTCTGTGTTACTGGTCTCTCAGCTGCTGGCAGGTATAATTTTGTTTTAAACTACCTTCAAACTATTATTCATAAAGGACCACAAAAAGACAGACAAAGTCTAGGAGTTCATGTATGAATCTCCCTGCTGCCAGCCCTCAGGTCTTTCAGTCATGGCACTTACCATCACAACTGGCCTCACTGGGATGTTCTCTTGTGAAGTGCCTGGTGGGGGATCATTCCATTCTGGAAATTTAATAACATCCTTTTGGTATGGGAGCTTCTTTGGATATGGCTTCAGGGGTGAAGAAGGAGGAAATCTAAAACCCAAGAAGAAATTCTCTATTACTGCAGTCAGTGGGAGACACAGATATTTTAATGATGGTCTCCACTTTTATGTCCCTGAAAATTTATACAATAGTTACAAATTCAGATAATAAATGAGCTCATACTTAATCAAATTATTACACGTGGTTAATTGTACTCAACAATAACATGGCTTTCTTTATAATATTCATTCATTATGCCCATCAAATAACATGTATGGAGAAAAACAGGAACTGAATATGTGATAAATTTTAAAATAAATAAACAAATCTTGTTCTCTCATCATGTGATTGATGTCCATGATCAAAGATGTTCTTAATGATATGCTAGGCTAAGCCATTTTTTTCACTCAGCTAAAATCCTTACTGCCTCCTAACTCCAGCCAAAATTTATACATGGTAAGCTGTATATAGAAATTATTTACAGAGAAATCCTCAGTAATACTTGCTAAGGAAGAAATATATTAACACAAAAACCATTTGGCCTAATATTCACTTTTATTACTATTTCTAATAAAGATTAATCTTTTTTTCCATTGAATATCTAGCACTTCACACTGAGATTGGAGCTTCAGTCTAGAAACCCATCTCGGAAGGAGCTAGAAAGTGGCAGAGTCCTTATTCTGCACTTCTACACTCTCCGCTGTTCCTAGCCTTCCTGTATATCAACAGTATCACTCCTTGGATTAATACCTAAAAGTCTGCATAAATTTTAATTTTTTAAAACTACTCTACACCATACCTGATAAAGAAGAGAAAGGTAATTGAATACATATTTTTTACAGATAATCTTTTTCTGTAGGCTTGTTAGAAAAGGATACAATGCATTACATTGTACTGCAAAAGCAATGTAAGAATTCTAGTTCTTAATGTTGATATAAAAGGCAGTAGGTTGTTGACTTTTATTTTGATTTTTTATTTACTTAAGCCAAAATAACAGCTTAAAAATCTTGTCCATGTTATTCATAGAAAAAAAATTATCCAAATAACTAAATACGTTATCTCAAAGCAAATGCAAAAATAAAGAATTTTAAAATGTCTATAATGTTCAAGGGAAGTTTGAGAATCACAAACAAGAGTATTGAAGGAAACAGAATGTGTCACCTCAAAATACTCCTCTTTGACATAATTCTTTGGAGCTAAAGACCATTTGAAGCAAATACAGAAAAGTACTCTGTCTTTCCTCTGCTTTCTTAAAAGGAGGACAATTATTAATACAAAGACAAAAGGTCTTTCTATCTTTCCCTCTTTCCTGCCTCAAAACAGCATGTAAATTCTCCTTTACAACATTTATCAGCTTAGAGACTGCACCAGAGGCATCTGAGCAGACTTTATTAGTTTCCCCATAAATTTACCTTCCCACACCTTTCTGCCTTTGGAAGCCTTAATCTGCTTTCATGTGTCCTGATGCTTCTCTAAAATTTATTGCTCTTTGTTGAAGACCTTATATAAGCCGGGACTCTAAGCCACTGCTTCTAGTTACTTTTCTCCCACGAGATGTGCACTGCACACATTAACAAATTTGCTTGTCAATGGGGAAAGGATTCCCTATTTAATAATAGTGTTGGGAAAACTGGCTAGCCATGTGCAGAGAGCAGAAACTGGACTCCTCCTTGACACCTTACACTAAAATTAACTCCAGTTGGATTAAAGACTTAAACATAAGATCTAACACCATAAAAACCCTAGAAGAAAACCTAGACAAAACTATCCAGGACATAGGCATAGGCAAGGACTTCATGACTAAAACACGAAAAGCATTGGTAACAAAAGCCAAAACAGACAAATGTGACCTAATTAAACTCTAGAGCTTCTGCACAGCAAAAGAAACAATCATTAGAGTGAACCAGCAACCAACAGAATGGGAAAAAATTTCTGCAATCTACCCATCTAACAAGGGGCTAATATCCAGAATCTACAAAGAACTAAAACAGATTTACAAGAAAACAAACAAACCCATCCAAAAGTGGACGAAGGGCACGAACAGACGCTTCAAAAGAAGACATATATGAGGCCAGCAAACATGAAAAAAGGCTCATCATCACTGGTCATTAGAGAAATGCAAATCAAAACCACACTGAGATACCATCTCATGCCAATTAGAATGGTGATCATTAAAAAATCTGGAGACAACAGATGCTGGAGAGGATGTGGAGATACAGGAAGACTTTTACACTGTTGGTGGGAGTGTAAATTCGTTCAACCATTGTGGAAGACAGTATGGTGATTCCTCAAGGACCTAGAAATAGAACTTTTATTTGACCCAGCAATCCCACTACTGGGTATATATCCAAAGGATTATAAACTGTTCTATTATAAGGATACATGCACACGAATGTTCACTGTGGCACTGTTTACAATAGCAAAGACTTGGAATCAATCCAAACGCCCATCGATGATAGACTGGACAAGGAAAATATCCACATATACACCACAGAATACTATGCAGCCATAAAAAATGATGAGTTTGTGTCCTTTGTAGGGACATGGACGAATCTGGAAACCATCATTCTCAGCAAACTGATCCAAGAACAGAAAATCAAAACACCGCATGTTCTCACTCATAGGTGGGTGTTGAACAATAAGAACACATGGACATAGGGAGGGGAGCATCACACACTGGGGTCCGTTGGAGGGGGGGCTAGGGGAGGGACAGCAGGGGGTGGGGTTGTTGGGGAGGGATAACATGGGGAGAAATGCCAGATATAGGTGACAGGGGGACGGAAGCAGCAAACCACCTTGCCATGTATGTACCTATACAACAATCCTGTGTGATCTGCACATGTACCCCAGAACCTAAAGTACAATAAAAAAAAAAAAAACCTGATATAGAATTACTATAAAAAAATAAGAAACATAATAAACTGATTCTAAAATTTATATGGAAATGCAAAGGCCCAAAAATAAGACATTCTTAAAAAAGAAAAACAAAGGGAAGTGACTTCTCCTATCGGATATCAAGGCTAACCTAATAGGGTAATACCAATGGCGGAGACCATAGTTTCTCAAGCTCCACATTATTGACACTTGGGGCTGAATAGTTCTTTGTTGTGGGGAGCTGTCCTGTGCTCTGGGGGATGCTGCTAAGTGCAAAGCATTCCTGGCCTCTACTCACCGGTTGTTAGTAGCACCCTACACACAAAACGCACATCTGTTGTGACAACCAAATATTTCTCTAGACATTGCCAAATGTCTTCTGCAAAATGGCCCCCAGTTGCAAATCACGGGCCTAGACACTGAGAATTCAAAACAAATAAACTCTTCTGTTTAAAAACATGATTTATAATAGAGCAGACATTACAGATGAATGGGAAAGTATGGACTGTTCAATAAATTGTACTGAGCCAACTGTTTATCCACTTGGGAAAAATGAAATTTCATCCCTGTTCAGCCTGCCACATTTCCAAAGGTGTTTACAATCACAACTCCCAACCATATGCTCTTTTGCAATATGATCTTGCCACTACTGTATCAAGAGGCAGAGCGTCTCTCTACCATCTCAAGTCTAGATGAGCCCCCTCTAATTGTTGTGATAAATACAATAAGGCAGAAGCACCAGCCTAACTGATTAGAACTCTCTTCATGCCTGTTGAAACTCTCATTCTTGTATAACTCATTATTATGAAGCTCCCTCTTGGAAACCAGCCATCATATAAGAAGTATGACTACCATGATACCACCATGTTGTGAAATGCCTAAGGAAGAGGAAGAAGCCCTAGAGAACGAGATACTGCAAGGAAAGAAACTGATTACCCATATCCAGGTAAAGGAGCACCAAAATTCCATATCTTCAAATAAACAAATATTCCTGGAGGTGGATTCTCCAGCCTTAGCAGCCCCAGGTGATGCCCACCTAAGCAACCTTCTAAAATTCCTGATTCACACAATTATATAAAAATTACAATAGGCCAGGCGCAGTGGCTCACACTTATAATCCCAGCACTTTGGGAGGCTGAGGCGGGTGGACTGCCTGAAGTCAGGAATTCAAGACCAGCCTGGCCAACATTGTGAAACCCCGTTTCTACTAAAAATACAAAAATTAGCTGAGCATAGTGGTGCATGCCTATAACTCCAGTTACTCGGGAGGAAGAGACAAGAGAATTGCTTGAACCCAGGAGGCGGAGGTTGCAGTGAGCTGAGATATTGCACTACTGCACTACAGCCTGGGTGACAGAGTGAGACTCCGTCTCAAAACCAAACAAATAAACAAACTACAGTAGTTGTTTCAAACCACTAAGTTTGGCATAGTTTTATTACACAACAACAACAGAAAACTAGAACAGAAATTTGTGGCATCTGCAACACGACCGAAGAGTGAAATGGATGCATGAAGGGCCTCAGAAGGCCTTTTTAAGAGAGGCTGAAAGAACAGTAGGGAAGTTGTTATGGAACAGTATGGAAGGTGGAGAAAAAAATCTGTGTTGCACAGTGGCATAAATTTTAGTAAAATTGTCACCTGCAGTAATAGGAAAACTAGGAAAGGTGGATCTGGCTAACAAATTTCCCAGGATGAATGATGAAAATGACAACTGGTTTCTTTTATAACAGCTGCAATAACTAGGTGTGGATTGTGCCAACTTAAGAATGATTAGGTGGATAAATTTGAAAAGAGGAGCTCTATTTCTCATAAAGGGTTGCAGCCTGTAGACTGGCCATCCTACAGGTTGGGAAGCAAAGCCTCTAGCAGCAGCTGAGAGCAAGCACTTTGAGGGAAGGGTAAAGAACAGGAATTTATGCTGAGCAAGGTGGCCAAATATGCATACTTAATAAGCTAAAGGAAGAGTGATGAATATTTATGAAAAAAGAAATATATGCACATGGCAATTGAGCTTCATGCACCTTTAATGGGTTGCATGTTCAAAAAATGGTGGCATTAGCACAATCTGAGGATGGAGTTTTCAGCCACCGATGTCAAAAGATAAAGCAGAGGACACAAAAATCATCACTAAGTATCCTCCACCCGTCAGCCAAAACGGATCTCGAGATAGTGGTCG